TATTTGATCCCAGTTGTGCTTTCCATAGCTGGGGGAGCCCCACTCAAGTCTCTGGTTTCAGTTACCCTGGCCACAAGTGGAGCCAGTTCTTGCCCTTCTTGCCCTGTGGGAACTAAACTTTCTTCTTACTACTATTGGTTTTCAGATACAGAGCCCCAGCCAGCCTCTGACACCAGCAAAGCATTTGCTCTGCTCTGTCTTCTGCACCATCTCTCTGCTTTCCACTTTCTCCCATTCCTTTTACCCTTTGGCTTTATACCTTTTTTATAACATTCATTTGGTGTCATCTTGATAGATATTCAGGAGGGAGCCAAGATGAGGGCATGTGTGTTGTCCGCCACGTTTAACTGAAATACCAGGTAGCAGTTCCTGTTTGCAATATTTTAATACAAAGTGATTAGTAAATTAGTTAAATATTATAGCTTATTAGAAAGCCTACCTAGCACTGGCATGCTCTCTAATTTTTATTTATGGCTTATAAAGCATAAACCTGTAATATTTTATTTTCTCCAGCTTTGAAGGGATATAATTTAACTTTTGTTAATTTGTTTGCTGTTGATTGCAAATACTCGATGTGATTTAGAAAGTGAGACTCTTTGCGGTATCTACATCTTTTAGGGAATAGTCCATAAACCTTGTTCAGGCCTTAGTGCGGATGTACATCTTAAAGAACACATCCTCAACGCTTGTAGGATGATTGTAGATGGCTGATTTACTGAACGTGTGACTGGCCATAGGTTATTCTTCGTGAGTATTTATGACTTATTCAGCAAGTTCCCAAACAATCTTCTGAGCTTATTTGTCTGAATCAGGGGGATAGTGAACAGATGTCAAATGTAATCCCCATCAATAATAGGAAAATATAGGTATAGATTGCATCGCATTTGGGAGTAGTGGCATAATAGTTTAAAAATCTAGATTGTTATAGTGTGTGTGCTGGAGAGACGAAGTTCTCACTATGCTGTGTTTGGTATAGCAGACATTCTACAGCTACGTACTGAGTGAATGAATGGATTGTGGCCTGGGGTTCCAACCACAGCCTCTTCACTTGACTGTATGTTGCCTTGAACCTGACCTGCCTTTCATGACAGGGACCTAAGCCCACATGTCTCTGGCTCTGGTTCCCTTATACTCCAGCCCCATTTCTGCTTCATGGGGGCCCAGGCAACAATGGTGGGATAGTGCTTATTCCATAAAATTATAACATATTCTTTGTACATGGCTATTGATCAAAACATTTTCCTTGTGGAATTGTTTTTTCTGATTATAAAAATTATATGTTTTGGAGAAAACCAAGATAGCGACCTAGGTAAACACCGGAGATTGCTGCCTCGCACAACCACTTCAAAAATACAACTAAAAGACGGAACGGACATCATCCAGAACCGCAGGAAGGCTGGCTGAGTGGAAGTTCTACAACTAGGAGGAAAGAGTAAAACATACCGAGACTCAGAGGAGGCGCAGTGCTGAAGTAAAATACTAAGGTGTGGAGTGCATGCAGAGCGGGCTGGTGGCTGAGGGCGTGGTTGTCTGTTTCAATCGGGAGGGAGTCTCAGGCTCTGAGCTCCACTTCCGGGCAAGTCTCTGTGGACCCAGACTCAAACGGGAGAAGTGGGACTGTCTGGCATCGGTCGGAACTCAAGGGCAGCTTTCTCTCCGAGGTACTTGCAGCAGTTGCTGGGACACTGAGAGGCAGAGCCTCTGGGGATGGGACTGAGAGCAGCCATAACTGCTCGCTCCGCCTGCCCTGTTGATCCCGTGGGACCCACCCCGCCCAAGCCCTGCACAGAGGCATTTGCGGGATAGCCTCAGGCAAAGGCTAGATTAGCACCTCCCTAGAGGACAGAAGTTCTCCCGCTGCAGACACAGCTGATTCTCACAGCCAGTTGGCCTGGAAGTCAAATCCCCCCCAGTATTACCTACAACAATCAAGGCTTAACTACAACAAGACTGCACACAAAGATCACTAGGGGGTGCACCAAGAAAGCATAAAAAATGCGGAGACAAAGAAACAGGACACAAATGTCAGAAATGGAAGATATAGAGCTCAAAACCACACTTTTAAGGTCTCTCAAGAACTGTCTAGAAGCTGCCGATAAATTTAGTAAGGCCCTCGAAAAGACTGGTGAGACCGCCGATAAATATAGTGAGATCCTCAAGAAATCTAATGAGACCCTCGATGTTGTGATAAAGGACCAACTAGAAATTAAGCATACACTGACTGAAATAAAGAATATTATACAGACTCCCAACAGCAGACCAGAGGATCGCAAGAATCAAGTCAAAGATTTGAAATGCGAAGAAGCAAAAAACACCCAACCAGAAAAGCAAAATGAAAAAAGAATCCGAAAATACGAAGATAGTGTTAAGGAGCCTCTGGGACAGCTTCAAGCGTACCAACATCCAAATTATAGGGGTACCAGAAGATGAGAGAGAGCAAGATATTGAAAACCTATTTGAAGAAATAATGACAGAAAACTTCCCCTACCTTGTGAAAGAAATAGACTTACAGGTCCAGGAAGCGCAGAGAACCCCAAACAAAAGGAATGCAAAGAGGACCACACCAAGACACATCATAATTAAAATGCCAAGAGCAAAAGACAAAGAGAGACTCTTAAAAGCAGCAAGAGAAAGAAACTCAGTTACCTACAAGGGAATACCCATACGACTATCAGCTGATTTCTCAACAGAAACTTTGCAGGCCAGAAGGGAATGGCAAGAAATATTCAAAGTGATGAATAGCAAGAACCTACAACCAAGATTACTTTATCCAGCAAAGCTATCATTCAGAACTGAAGGTCAGATAAAGAGCTTCACAGATAAGGAAAAGCTAAAGGAGTTTATCACCACCAAACCAGTATTATATGAAATGCTGAAAGGTATCCTTTAAGAAGAGGAAGAAGAAGAAAAAGGTAAAGATACAAATTATGAACAACAAATACGCATCTATCAACAAGTGAATCTAAGAATCAAGTGAATAAATAATCTGATGAACAGAATGAACTGGTGATTATAATAGAATCAGGGACATAGAAAGGGAATGGACTGGCTATTCTTGGGGGGGGGGGAAGGGATGTGGGGGATGCGGGAAGAGACTGGACAAAAATCGTGCATCTATGGATGAGGACAGTGGGTGTGGAGTGAGGGCGGAGGGTGGGGCGGGAACTGGGAGGAGGGGAGTTATGGGGGGGGGAAAAAGAGGAACAAATGTAATAATCTGAACAATAAAGATTTAATTTAAAAAAATTATATGTATTTATTTCAGGAAAGTTGTGCAGGTCAGAAAAGAATGAAAAATACAATAACCAAACATGATCCAGAGATAGTTGGTTAGTATTTTGTAAGCTTTCATGTGATAGTTTAATGATTATCTGCATCAAGGTTCACTCAAGCAAACAGAAAACACTCTATTTTAGCAGGAACGGATTTCACATCGAAAATCACAGCTCGAAAAAGCAGTGGGAGCTGTGGGGAGGCAAAGGGCAGGAAACTTACTGGCTTTCAGGAAAATAGGCAGCACGAGAATCACAGAAGGGGACTCGGCTGCCCCCAGCACGGAAGTCAGGGGTTTCAGGAGTGTGTCTGGAAGCGGCTGCACACCCACCCGGGCAGGGTCCCCAGGTGCCTGCCCGCCCACTGCTGCAGAGTAGAATAGGACTGCCCCTTCTCCTCCACCTTCCACCTCCTGCAGAAGTGCCTCCCCCTGGTGGATCTGAATCACACCACGCCAGTGAGGGAACCCGGGAAGTGCAGTTTGGGGGCTCCTGCCTGAGGAGCTTTCCGAAGGAGCAAAAGGGCTGTGGCAGCTCTGAGTGGCCCCCTCGTGATTGCTTTCTCTTGTCAGTACTCTTTCGGTATCTGTTTTCTAAGATTCTCACCATGAGTTATTTCCGTGACTGTCTGGCCACCTCTTATTCTAGGCAAAGCGAACCTCCAGATATACTGTTTGAAGCTCTGCCCACTGTGAGTTTTCCCTTCTGTAATACCCTCAGGGCCACTCCTGAGCGGGCTTTTCAGTGTCAGCAGCCTTCTAGAAGGTGCCAGCCTATTGGGTGTGACCATCTGTAAATCAGGCCTGTCCTTTTCTCCCTCAGTCCACTTGGGCATCAAAAACTCCTCAAGAGGCCACGGGTGTGAGTTGAAGGAAGTTGGTCCAGTAGCAGGGCGGGATGCCACGGGAGTCAGGGCTCATGCCGTTTGCGTAGCCTTTGCGATCTGTTCCGGCTTGATGTCTGTACGTACCCCTCCCCTTGAGGATGGGGTGCTGCTCAGCGCCCACCTGTATGCAGTCTCCCCCAGCGCCCAGTGGCAAGCCAGCAGCTACTTCTCCAGGCAGGACCGATTGTGTTGGGACAGGGATGACTTTGCTCTAAACCCCTCGGGTTCTGTCCTGTGACCCTCCTGTTAGGTCTGTCACCCGTGGACAGAGGCTGGTACACAGCGTATCTGCCACCGACACTTGGAGCACCACTGGGACCGCCAAGGGGTGTAAGGCCCGGGGGCAGAGCCACTTCCCTGGCAGCGCGGACCAGCTGCAGGGCCTCCCCTGGCCCTGGACCCCTCAAAGCAGACAGCCTGCTAGGTGGTTAAGAGGGGCCTTTCTAATGTGGTGGAAGTTGCCTCCAAAATGCAACCCCCCCCCCCCAACACACACACCCATGAAAAGGCGGAGGTGGTTCTGAAGACGACAGACCACATCCGCACACGCTGTCGTGTTTTGTAACTGGGCCCTCACTGCAGATACGGTTTTGTAGTCATGATCATTGTAAGCCTGAGGCCCTTTGTTGGTGACATCTCGAGTCTTTTTAAGCACACCCCTGTGGTTTAACGTAAAAACCATAGTGAGGGCAGCTCTCAGAATTCGTTTGAGCCTCTGTTAAAAAGAGCGGCTCATCGCGCAGTTTCTCTGAGTGGGGCCATGCATTGTAGAGCAGGCAAGGAAGCCCGAGCACTTGTTGGGAAACGTGAGTGAGAATGAGCTTCGTTGTTTGCCTGGACAGGTGTGACGCCAGCATAGCCAGACTCTCCGCGGAGCACAAATCCACGTGCGAGGGCCTTCAGCACTTGAACAAAGAGCAGCAGGCTGCCAAACTTATCCTGGAAACAAAGATCAAGGACGCAGAGGGCCAGGTATGACCTGTCTCAGGGAGCTGTTTAAAAGTGGTCATTGTTCTCAGCTGAGAGTACCGTGGTGCGGCCTGTCTTTTACAGAGGAGACTAGCTGGGGCAACCGGCATAAGCATGATCTCTTTTCTCTGCTTCTTCCTTCCTCTGCGTCACTGGAGTGGCGCTTCATGAGTAAGGCAGCCAAGTCACCGAGATTTTTCGGTACAGTCCTAATTCCAGAGATCCTTTCCCTTCATTCTGAAAACAGTTACGACATTCCAAATTGTAACTCCAAAACGACCCCTCGCACAGGTAAGCGATCAGCATTCTTTTACATGCCAGTCGTCCCAATTTGGGGTTTGGGGAAAGGTGGCTATGTTCACCGGGACTAGTCTGTATGTGGGAAGAAATTAGGGCAAAGCTGGAGGATAGGCCGGCTAGTGGATTTTCAGTATTCCACCTTGAAATTCACAGTTTAATTTCAAAAAGCAAAATTCTTGGCATTTAACGTTTGCTTTTTGGCCACTTACAACTTTCCCTTTGCCATAACGGGGCCTGTCTTTCTGGGATTTCCCCACAGTGTGTTTTCTGCTTGCTCTTCTTCATTTAAAGGGGGACTATGCCAGGAAAGTGGGGCATCTGGTCAACTTATTGGATTCAAAAGACTTGTGTCCTAACTGCATCCAATAAGTAGGTAAATCTGCTTATGTGAAAAGCACAGACATTATAAAACCATGAAAAGAAGAATAAAATGACAAGTCCAGTACTTTTTATCACAGAATGAGTGAGGATAAAATTATTACATCAGAAAATAAATGCTAAGGAAATATTAAGCTTTCTGATAGCCAAGCCAAGTGTAATGCATATAGAAATCCATAAAAGGAGACATATTTTTTTATTTGTTCTGGATCTGAAAAATAGTTGTTTCATGAATCTTTAAGGAACATTGCAGAAAATTAAGACATTTCATATAGCACTAGTTTTATGTTACATGGTAGTAAAAAGACAAGGGAAATGGGTAGGCGGTGGGAGGGAGAAAGGAGTGGGAAGGGTGCATAGTTACAAATTATGTTTTCTGGGAACTAAACAATGCAGAGGTAAATCTGGGACCTTAATGGATTTTGTAAGTGATAAGAATTCCATTCTCTGTGACTAGCAGCTACATTCCTGGTAGAATTTCAGGATAAAAGTGACGATATTTTGTGCCAGCAGGTGGCAGTAGTGTACCTGGGCAGAAACTGGGCTTGCTCATCAGAGTTCTGTAGCTCAGTGTTCAGTGCACAGGGAACATTTTGGAAGTGCTGCTGGTATTGGTTTTTGATGGGGCCTGTGAAAGAAAATGGAAGTGGAGGGATGAGGTGAAGTCCTAAATGACTGTATTAAATTAGACTGAATCTTCATGCCATTTGTCTAGAACAGCCATGGGCAAACTACGGCCCGCGGGCCAGATCCGGCCCGTTTGAAATGAATAAAACCATTGAAAAAAAAGACCGTACCCTTTTATGTAATGATGTTTACTTTGAATTTATATTAGTTCACACAAACACTCCACCCATGCTTTAGTTCCGGCCCTCCGGTCCAGTTTAAGAACCCATTGTGGCCCTCGAGTCAAAAAGTTTGCCCACCCCTGGTCTAGAATATAGCTTACGGAATGTTTTCTTCAATGACCTCTGAAAAGGTTCAATGTGATACTCCATGCAAAGTCTCTTTTCCAGATTTCTCAGCTTTTGAACAGAGTGGACTTGTCAATATCCGAGCAAAGCACCAAACTGAAGATGTCCCACAGAGATAGTAACCACCAGCTTCAGCTCTTGGATACTAAGTAAGTCATCAACTTATAAACATTTTATTTCTAATGGTAGAAGTTCTTTATGAGCTTATTCAGTACTACAGTTTCCCCCTCTTATTTATTTATTGCATAAACAAAGTGACAACAGTACTGGGAGTTGAAAGGAAAAGTATCTGTGCAGCATGCTGTCGCTTCACCTTCCTCATTTTTGTTTTTCTTGGTTGGATAATCATCCATCCATTCATTCAATAAATAGCTGAGCGCTGGCCAAGGTGCTGAGGATCAGTAATGAAAAGAAACAGACTGTCCTAGTCCTTGTGTAGCTGATAGTCTAGGGCCGTGGTCAGCAAACTGCGGCTCGCGAGCCACACGCGGCTCTTTGGCCCCTTGAGTGTGGCTCTTCCACAAAATACCATGTGGGGGCGCGCAAGTACAGTGTGATTGAAACTTCGTGGCCCATGCGCAGAAGTCGGTATTTTGTGGAAGAGCCACACTCAAGGGGCCAAAGAACCGCATGTGGCTCGCGAGCCGCAGTTTGCCGACCACTGGTCTAGGATGTTGATGAGCATGGATTACATCATGACTGCAGCAAGCACTTGCTATGTCATTACTAACAGTGATGAGTGCTTTGGAGGAAAGGGGCACGTTGTGGTTGGCTGACTAATGGTCCCCCAAATGTCACCACGTAACCTTTGTGAATAGGGCACCTTGCATGGCAAAAAGGGACTTGGATATGCGATTAAGATTTTAAAATGGGAAGGAATAGAGAACCAAGATGGCGGCATAGGTTAACGCTGGAGAATGCTGCCGCGAACAACCAATTCAAGGGTACACCTAAAGGACGAACAGACATCATCCAGAACCACAGGAAGGCTGGCTGAGTGGAAATTCTACAACTAGGAGGAAAGAGAATATCATACCCAGACTCAGAGGAGGCGCAGTGCTGAAGTAAAATACTCAGGTTCGGAGTGCGCGTGGAGCGGGCTGGCGGCGGAGGGCGCGGTTGTTGTTTTCAATCGGGAAGGAGTTTCAGACTCTGAGCTCCAGATCCGGGCGAGTCTCTAGGGACCCAGACTCAAACGGGAGAAGCGGGACTGTCTGGCTTCGGTCAGAACTCGAAGGTAGCTTTCTCTCCGAGGTTTGCAGTGGTTGCTGGGACTCTGTGAGGCAGAGCCCCTAGGGACGGTACTGAGAGCAGCCATAACTGCTCCCTCCGGCCCGCCCTGTAGATCCCCAGGGACCCGCCCCGCCCAAGCCCTGTGCAGAGCCATTTGCCGAATAGCCTCAGGCAAATGCTAGATTAGCACCGCCCTAGAGATCCAGCACAGAAGCTCTCCCACTGCAGACACAGCTGACTCTCATACCCAGTTAGCCTGGAGGTCAAATCACCCCCAGTATTGCCGACAACAGTCAAGGCTTAACTACAACAAGACTGTGCACAAAGACCAGTAGGGGGTGCACCAAGAAAAGATAAAAAAATGCGGAGACAAAGAAACAGGACGCAAATGTCAGAAATGGAAGATATAGAGCTCAAAACCACACTTTTAAGGTCTCTCAAGAACTGTCTAGAAGCTGCCGATAAACTTAGTAAGGCCCTCAAAAAGACTGGTGAGACCGCCGATAAATGTAGTGAGATCTTCAAGAAATCTAATGAGACCCTCGATATTGTGATAAAGAACCAACTAGAAATTAAGCATACACTGACTGAAATAAAGAATATTGTACAGACACCCAACAGCAGACCAGAGGAGCGCAAGAATCAAGTCAAAGATTCGAAATGCGAAGAAGCAAAAAACACCCAACCAGAAAAGCAAAATGAAAAAAGAATCCGAAAATACGAAGATAGTGTAAGGAGCCTCTGGGATAGCTTCAAGTGTACCAACATCAGAATTATAGGGGTGCCAGAAGATGAGAGAGAGCAAGATATTGAAAACCTATTTGAAGAAATAATGACAGAAAACTTCCCCCACCTGGTGAAAGAAATAGACTTACAAGTCCTGGAAGTGCAGAGAACCCCAAACAAAAGGAACCCAAAGAGGACCACACCAAGACACATCATAATTAAAATGCCAAGAGCAAAAGACAAAGAGAGAATCTTAAAAGCAGCAAGAGAAAGAAACTCAGTTACCTACAAGGGCGTACCCATTCGACTGTCAGCTGATTACTCAACAGAAACTTTGCAGGCCAGAAGGGAATGGTAAGAAATATTCAAAGTGATGAATACCAAGAACCTACAACCAAGATTACTTTATCCAGCAAAGCTATCATTCAGAACTGAAGGTCAGATAAAGAGCTTCACAGATAAGGAAAAGCTAAAGGAGTTCATCACCACCAAACCAGAATTATATGAAATGCTGAAAGGTATCCTTTAAGAAGAGGAAGAAGAAGAAAAAGGTAAAGATACAAATTATGAACAACAAACATGCATCTATCAACAAGTGAATCTAAGAATCAAGTGAACAAATAATCTGGTGATCATAATAGAATCAGGGACATAGAAAGGGAATGGACTGGCTATTCTTGGGGGAGAAAGGGGTGTGGGAGATGCGGGAAGAGACTGGACAAAAATCATGCACCTATGGATGAGGACAGTGGGTGTGGAGTGAGGGCGGAGGGTGGGGCGGGAACTGGGAGGAGGGGAGTTATGGGGGGAAAAAAGAGGAACAAATGTAATAATCTGAACAATAAAGATTTAATTAAAAAAAAATAAAAATTAAAATTAAAAAAAAGATTTTAAAATGGGAAAACTATTTGGGTGAACCCGATGTCACCCTTAGAGTCCCTGTGAGAGGGGGCAGGAAGGTCAGAGTCAGAAGACCACGTGACGTGGAAGCCAAGATTGGAGTCATGTACCTTGACGGTGGAGGAAGCTGAAAAAGGCAAGAAAATGACTCTCCCCCCAGAGCCCCCAGAAGGAACCACCTCTGCTCACACCTCGACCTCAGTCCAGTGAAGCTGATTTCAGACCTCTGGCCTTCAGAACTATTAGAAAATGAATGTGTTGTTTTTAGCCACCAGGTTTGTGGGCACTTGTCACAGCAGCCGCCGGAGGCTAATACAGTGGTGCTGTGAGCGTGAAAGGCAGGGGCCTGGGTGTGAGTCTTCCTGAGAGGCGATGTTTGGAGTCAGAGATGAAGAATGAGTGGAATTCACTGGGTAAAGAGAGAGGTGAGGACATACAGGATGGGAGGGCCTATCTTGGGAGAAGTGTGGCATATAGGAACTGCAAGATGGCAAAGGTGGCTGGATCAGAGACGTGAGGCTGGAGAGGAGGCGGGCCAGCTGGCCTGGCCTTGTAGACCTTGGCCGGCACTTCCCATCACTGAGCAACAAGGAGCCACTGGGAAGGAGATTTTAAGCAGATAAAGTGATATATACACAATTATTTTTCAATGGCCTTAATTGCAGTTGGAAATGGATCACAAGGGGCCAAAGCAGAGATGGAGACATCAGTTAGGGGCACCGTTTCAGCAGTCCAGGTGGGAGAGGCCTGCATCAGGGTGGTACTGAGCTATCTAGTTGGTGCCCTGTAATTTGTTACACTTTCACATTTTGTTATAGCGACCCGTTCGTTATAGTGGCCCTTTAGTTATAGTGGCCCTTTGGTTATAGTGACCCTTTAGTTATAGTGGCCCTTTAGTTATAGTGGCCCGTTAGTTATAGTGGCCCATTAGTTGTAGTGGCCCTTTAGTTGTAGTGGCCCGTTAGTTGTAGTGGCCCTTTAGTTATAGTGGCCCTTTAGTTATAGTGGCTCGTTAGTTATAGTGGCCCTTTGGTTATAGTGGCCCGTTAGTTATAGTGGCCCTTTGGTTATAGTGGCCCGTTGGTTATAGTGGCCCGTTAGTTATAGTGGCCCGTTAGTTATAGTGGCCCGTTGGTTATAGTGGCCCGTTGGTTATAGTGGCCCGTTGGTTATAGTGGCCCGTTGGCTATAGTGACCCTTTAGTTATAGTGACCCGTTGGTTATAGTGGCCCGTTGGTTATAGTGGCCCGTTGGTTATAGTGGCCCGTTGGCTATAGTGACCCTTTAGTTATAGTGGCCCGTTAGTTATAGTGACCCTTTGGTTATAGTGGCCCGTTAGTTATAGTGACCCTTTAGTTATAGTGGCCCGTTGGTTATAGTGGCCCGTTGGTTATAGTGGCCCGTTGGTTATAGTGGCCCGTTAGTTATAGTGGCCCGTTGGTTATAGTGGCCCGTTAGTTATAGTGGCCCGTTGGTTATAGTGACCCTTTAGTTATAGTGGCCCGTTGGTTATAGTGGCCCGTTGGTTATAGTGGCCCGTTAGTTATAGTGACCCTTTAGTTATAGTGGCCCGTTGGTTATAGTGGCCCGTTGGTTATAGTGACCCTTTAGTTATAGTGGCCCATTGGTTATAGTGGCCCGTTGGTTATAGTGGCCCGTTGGTTATAGTGGCCCGTTGGTTATAGTGGCCCGTTAGTTATAGTGGCCCTTTGGTTATAGTGGCCCGTTAGTTATAGTGGCCCGTTAGTTATAGTGGCCCGTTGGTTATAGTGGCCCGTTGGCTCTAGTGGCCCGTTGGCTATAGTGACCCTTTAGTTATAGTGGCCCGTTGGCTATAGTGGCCCGTTGGCTATAGTGACCCTTTAGTTATAGTGGCCCGTTGGTTATAGTGACCCTTTAGTTATAGTGGCCCGTTAGTTATAGTGGCCCTTTAGTTGTAGTGGCCCGTTGGTTATAGTGGCCCGTTGGTTATAGTGGCCCGTTGGTTATAGCGGCCCGTTGGTTATAGTGGCCCTTTAGTTGTAGTGGCCCGTTGGTTATAGTGGCCCGTTGGTTATAGTGGCCCGTTGGTTATAGTGACCCTTTAGTTATAGTGACCCTTTCGACTGCACTTGCCTGCAGTGAAGCTCATCTATGCTCGATCACAAAACCATACACCTTCTCCCATCATGAAGCTTCATGACCTCCCATTTTCCTGCCAAAGCAGAGCCAGCATTGACTGTATATGCATGTGTGTGTCCTTGTGTGTGCGTGTATATATGTGTATATGGACACTACATTTTTAAAAGATGACTACAGTATGGAACTTGGTTAGAGGCTTATGGAAATTTAAATTATACATTCTCTGGATCTTTACATCTCAGTGCCTTCATGTTTAATGCTATTTCAGGATTGTTGCCTATTTAACAGGAATTTACCTGTGAAAACCACATTTTTTTCTCCTCTCATTGCCTGTATTTACATAATTGTTGAGTTATGTCACCATTTCTCATAGATCCTAGAAGCTGGCCAAGCACAGAAAGATCTCTCCAGTCCTCTTTCTTTGATCACACAGGAACAAAAGAAACCTTTTAGTATTTACTAGTCAGCAGACATGAACATCTTTATTTTTCTTCCTATAACTTGCAGTCTAGAAGTGTACACACGAGGCTGGTCACGGAGGCAAGCAGGCACAGCCTGGGGCCTCTGTGGGGTGGGGGATGTATTGGAGACCCAAAAGGTGAACCCCTGCTGGATGAACTAGGAAAAATCCACAGAGATCACAATCTGTCTAATCTTGCCTCTGGGTAGAGAAGTAAAGCTAGTCTTGAGTATCAGGATCCTAACACAAGCTTTCTATAGACTTAGAAAGGTAGTTCCCATTACCCAGAGGGCTTGAAGAAAACCACAGGAACTGTGGTATCATCACATATGCCTCTGTGACTGTCTTAGAATGACCCTGAGATTCCTGGCAGAAGCAAATGCAAATCTTCAGTCTTCAAATCTTCCCACAGACAAAGGAAGTCCCAAGAAACATGAATTTACAATCAAATATTGTGAAACAACACAAGGGAAAAGCTACACAAATGATTGAATCAGAAGAAACAACAAAAAAACCCAGAATCAGGCTTCTGAATACTGCATGTACAGTAATTATTGGATAGAATAAGAATTCATGTGTATATGTGAGTTTCACACACATATTTTGAAAGTATGATTAAGGGATAAGAGACGATCAAAACTGATCAATCAGAATTTAAACAACCAATTAGAACTTCTACAAAATAGAATAATTGCTATAACCTGTAACCACGCCTGACCAGGGAGCCTGAACAGTGACCGTAGGCAGTTTTGGAGCCCAGCTTATGGCCCCACCTGATTGTTGAGCACAGCCTCGCCCAGGCTGGGAACCCAGCCAACACTCCTGCCCCAAAGCAGAACTTGGCCTGCGGCTCTACCTGACTGGGGAGCCCAGACAACAACTCCTCCTGACCCCAGAGCACAGTTTCCAGCTCTACACAACTGCTGGGTACAGCTGGTGGCCGCGCCTGACCAGGGAGCCTGGCTAGTGACCTCAGTCGACTGTGGGGCACTGCCAGCAGCCTGCTGAATTGTGGAGCATAGCCTGAGGCCCTGTCTGAGCATGTATCTCAGCCTGTGGCCCTGCCCGAACGTGGAGCTGGGGAACACAGCTTGGGGCCCCACCTGATGAGGTGTAGTTGTGGAGCCCAGCCTGCAGCTCTGCCCCATCATAGAGCCCAGCCAGCAGCACCACCCTGCCAGGGAACACAGCCTGCAGCCCCACCCAACCAGAGGTCATTTCAGAGCTCAGTTAGTGGCTCCACAGGACTACGCAGCCCATCCAGTGGCCCCACCTGGACAGGGAGCCCAGCCGGTGGTCCCCGCTCCTTCAGAGTGTGGACAGCAGTCCTGCCCAACTAGAGACCTAACGGACACACAGAACATTCTATCCAGCAGCTGCAGAATACATGTTCTTAAGTGCACACAACATTCTCTAGGATAGAGGCACATATTAGGCCACAAAAGAAGTTTTAAATTAAATATTGAAATAAAACCAAGTATCTATTTTTTTTTACCATAATAGTGTAAAATTAGACATCAATAATAGGAGGAACATTGGAAGTTAAACAACCCATTCCTGAAAAATCAATGTATCAAAGAAGATCAAAAGGGAAATTTTAAAATCTTGAAAAAAATGTATGGGGTGCAGCAAAAGCACTTCTGTGAGGAAAATTTACAGAGGTAAATGTCTGCATTATGAGAAAGGAAAGATTTCGAATAAACAACCAAACTTTACACTTCAAGGAATTAGAAAAACAAACTAATCTCAAAGATAGTAGAAGGAAAGAAATAATAAAGCTTAAACTAGAAATAAATGAAATACAGAACAGAAAAACAATGGGAAAAATAAGCAAAATTAATAGTTGGTTTGTTTGAAAGATAAACCAAATAGATAAAACTTTAGCTAGGCTAACCAAGAAAAAAAGAAAGAGGACTCAAATAAAATTATAAATGAAAGGAGTCATTACAGCTGATACCACAGAAATGCAAAGGATCATAAGAAACTACTATGAAATATAATATGCCAACAAACTGGATATCCTGGGGGTGGGGGTGAGGGTGGGGGGGGAAATCTATGAATTTCTGGAAGCATACAACCTACCAAGACAGAATTATGAAGAAATAGAAAATCTGAACAGACCAGTAATAAGGAAGAAAATTGAATCAGTAATCAAAAACCTCCTTACAAATAAAAGCCTAGAACCAAATGGCTTCATGGGTGAACTCTGCCAAATATTTAAAGAATGATTAATGGCAACCATTTTCAAACTCATTCAAAAAATTGAAGAGGAGGGAACACTTCCAAACTCATTTTATGAGGCCAGCATTACCCTGATGCCAAAGCCACATATAAAATATCTCTGATAAACATCAATGCAAAAATTCTCAACAAAATACTAGCAAACCAAATTCAAGAGTACATAAAAAGGATCATATACTATTAAATAGGATGTATCTCTGGTATGCAAGGATGGTTCAATATACACTAATCAATCAACATGATATACCACATTATGTTGGATAAAAATCATGATCATCTCAATAGATGCAGAAGAAGCATTTCAACATCTTTTCATAATAAAGACTCTTAACAGATGGGGTATAGAAGGAATGTACTTCAACATAATAAAGGCCATATATCCCAAGGCCACAGCTAACATCATACTCAATGATGAAAATCTCAAAGTGTTTCCTCTAAGATCAAAAACAAGACACGGGTGCCCACTCTCACCACTTCTGTTTATCATGGTACTGGAAGTCCTAGCCAGAGAAATTAGGCAAGAAAAAGAAACAAAAGACATTCAAATCAGAGAAAAAGAAGTAAAGTTATCCCTATTTACAGATGACATGATCTTATATATAGAAAAGTCTAAAGACTGCGCCAGAAAACTGTTAGAATAAATAAATTCTGTAAAGCTGCTGTGTTCTGTGGTCAGTCTTCCTGGTCAGTTAGGTGGAGCTGCTGGCTTGGCTTCATGCCCAGATAAGGCCAAAGAGCTTTGCTTTTAATGACCAGGAAGTTGTACTTATCACTTCTACATGTGTCCAATTGTCCACCTTAGTCATATGACCATATCTAACTGCAAAGAAGGCTGGGAAATGTAGTCTCTGGCTAGGCAGCCATGTAACCAGTTTACATTTGAGGGTTTCTTAATAGGGAAGAAGCAGCAAACAGACTGCATATAATTAGGGGTTTTTATCACAGTGGGTGTTTATTTTGTTGTTATCATTTAGGTTCTTTTGTCACATATATTCTTTTGTATTTTCATTACATTTCATAATAAAAATAATAAAAAAGTAATTAAGGAAAGCAGCAAGTATGAAGTGTTATTTTAAGGTATTTGGAAAGGGGGAGGACTAGAGGAATAGAAGATTGGATTATGTTTTTTATTTCAGTTTTCTTTTTTATTTAAATTAGACAATATCTGTGTGGGGGCAAGAGAAATTTGGAGAATATTAAAGAAAAAGGGAGCCAGGCTCCAGTTCTGGGAGATAAAAGGGAGAAGGAGGAAGAGCCCAGAAAAATAGGGGAGCCAGAGGGGTTCTAGGACAGTGTCCTCTGAGCTGGGAGCCCTAGGGGACCCTCTGAACTGCAAAGATTAGCACCTAGTGTGGTGTTGTGTGACTCTGCCCACCCTGTCAGCTCGTCATGAGTAGGAAGTATTGCAGGTGCTTTTCTGTTATATCATCTTCTTCAACCCCCTCCCCAAAATAGTTCAAAATGCAAGTTTAAGAGAAGGTAAGCATGTAATTCTGAGTGGGCTCAGTTTAATGCTGACATATTTATGAGAAATTTGATAATTGGAGACTGAGATTGTTTGATGCCATTTTTGAATTGTTTTACATCTAACTCACTGACTCTTTTATTTTAGATTTAAGGGTACAATTGAGGAACTCAGTAACCAGATTTTATCTGCTCGGAAATGGTTGCAGCAGGAACAGGAACGGATAGAAAAAGAACTTTTACAGAAAATCGATCAGCTCTCCTTGGTTGTTAAGGAAAACAGTGTAGGTATTGATGTTTAGCAATAACATGGTCATTTGGTGAGGGTCTGCAATGTTGGAGTAATACCTAGTAATTTATCATCGCTTTATTTAGCACCATATTAAGCTGTTCCATTGCTTGCCTTAGAATCCATTTCCATGGTTCATACTGGTTCTTTGTCATAAAGAGATGGAGCACTCTGATTTGTTTTGGTTAACAAAGGCTCAGTAGAAAATTTTAATAGCTTCAGCTAAGATGAATTTAAGTGAAGACCTTAATGAACCAAGTTGTCCATCTGCTTTTCTAAATCAAACAATTACAGACTTCAACCAGGCTTGTTTTAATTTCATGACCTGGCATAACCAGTCTTGACTTGACTTCTCCTTCCAGGCCCCTCTGTCACACTAACCACAGCATGAGATGTCACGGTGCAACATGTAAAGAGAATCCACTGTTTTCTTTTCCAGCTTCCTTGTCCTTTTACCCCACTCTTCCAGAGGACTGAGGTGTGCAAAACTGCTCAAACACCATATTGAGAAAGCCTTGCATAGATAGGATTCAAAACCAGTAAACTCTGAAACCGGTACTTGGCAGGCAGCTCTTTTGGTTTGGTCATTTAGCCTAAGCATCTCCCTCTCCCTTCTCTTTTCTTGCACTGCTTCCTCCTGTCGAACTTTGATGGAGCAGAAGTGATTGGTGCAGTTTGCATTTCTAGCTCTGCTCTCTGAAAGCCCACCTGTTGAATTGCAGACTCTGCATCAGACAGCATTGTGAGAGCTTTGTCATGCCATAGCCCACCCACTTTTTGCTTGGAGTTTGTGGTTCTGGCCTCCAGAGCTTGCCTGCAGACACAGATTCCCATAAAAATGAAGCATGGTGGAAAGGGAAGAAGAAGGTAGGGAAGGGAAGGGAAGGAAAGAGAAGGGTAGGAGGAATATATTTACCATATCTCTTATTTTTACATGAAGATTGGTCTAACAACTAACAGTAAACCCCAGGACAATGGGGTTTAATAAGATAGATGTTTATTTCTCTTTCACATAGAAGATGTCTGGGCTGATGTGGTAGCTTCTCAGTCCTCAGAGTCTCAGGATCCTCCTGGCATAATTGCCAATCGTAGAGAGCGACCCTTGTCCTTGTAGTTCAGGAAGGTTGCTGGAGCCCCCGTCATTGTCTGAATTCCAGGAAGAGGAGAAAGAAGGCCATGCCTCAGCTGTCTTTTAACTTTTCCTGGAACCTTCCATATACACTTGAACTTGCATCTCATGGGCCACAACTTAATCGTATGGCTACCCGAAACTCCGGAGACAGTAGAAAATGTCATATTTATTCTGGATAACCTTATACCCAGCTGTAAATTGGGGATCTCTTAAAGAGGAAAGGATCATGGATATTAGGGTGAGCAATGGGCAACCTTTGCGATTCCGTTCCCTGCAGACTGTTGTTAAAAGACATTATAGCTGATGCAAATGCCATACAGACTTTGTTTTTGGAGTAATGAGGTGCAATTCTTATCATGGATCTCAGGGAGCCAGTGAAAGGGACATGGAGAAGAAGCTCAGCCAGATGTCAGCCAGACTCGACAAAATAGAAGAGAGTCAGAAGAAGCATATGGAAGGGCAGAGAACAAAACAAGAAGAAGAGAAGGTGCATGGGCGAATCAGCAAGCTGGAGTTGCAGATGACGGAGGACATGAAGGAAATGAAAGCAGAAGTTGATGCTGGTAGGTTGAAAAGAAAACAGCTTCTATGGTTTATTTTCTATTTGATCTAGAAACCAATTAATTAGTATTCTCTACAACTGCCCATGAACTGGCTAATGGCAAGAACAGTGAAATGGCCTTAGGTGATTTTCTAAGTAGCTATGCTGTATTCAACTAAAACATTTTAATTCCAAGAGCCACCATAAGGGACAAGCAAACAAAATGAAGATTGTTTAGCTTGCAGTTGATGTGTGCTTTCTTTAGTACTCTGTACAGATTCCTTTCTGTTCAGAGCCAAGGTGACTACGTCTCATAGATAAGCACCTGTCTGTGAGGGCTTTTGAAGGCTTTATTGTATACTGCTAGTAGGACCATCATAGTAGAGTGGTTTTCCTCTACTCGGAACTCAACAGGGCCCATTAATTCACACTTGTTTAGGAGAAAATGTTAGAGCTGACATAAAAGGAAGAATTAGAATTACACTCTGAGTCAGGAATACAGAACTAGAACCAATAAAGTGGAAGTGACCCGAAGACAGATTATATTTATTTATTTTATTTTTAAAATCTTTACTGTTGAGAGCATGTTCCTCTTCTTTCCCCCTCTATTGCCTTCCTCCACTCAGTTCCCGCCCTGTCCCAGCCTTTCACCACCCTATTGTCTGTGTCCTTAGGTAATGCATACATGCATATAAGATCTTCGGTTAATCTTTTCCCGTCCTTCCACTACCCTTCCCTCTGAGAATCATCAGTCTGTTCCATTTCCATGCCTCTGATTCCATTTTATTCACCAGTTTATTGTGTTCATTAGATTTCTTACTCGTTTATTTTGGTTTTTAGGTTCAATTGTTGATAGATACGTATTTATTGCCTTTTTATTATTTATCTTTTTTTATATTTTTCTTCTTCTTCCTCTTCTTAAAGAATACCCTTCAACATTTCATGTAATACTGGTTTGGTGGTGATGAACTCCTTTAGCTTTTTTTTTTTTTTTTTGTCTGTGAAGCTCTTTATATGACATTTAATTTTAAATGATGTCTTTGCTGGGTAGAATAATCTTGGTTGTAGGTCCTTGCTATTTATCATGTTGAATATTTCTTGCCACTCCCTTCTGACCTGCATAGTTTCTGTTGAGAAATCAGCTGGCAGTCGTATGGGTACTCCCTTGTAGGTAACTAACTGCTTTTCTCTTGCTGCTTTTAAGATTTTTCTCTTCGTCTTTAGCCCTTGGCATTTTAATTATGATGTTTCTTGGTGTGGTCCTCTTTGGGTTCCTCTTCTTTGGGACTTCGTGCTTCCTGTACTTGTAAGTCTATTTCTTTCACCAGGTAGGGGAAGTTTTCTGTCATTATTTTTTCAAATAGGTTTTTAGTATCTTTCTCTCTCTCTTCTTCTGGCAACCCATAATGAGAATGTTGGTACACTTGAAGTTGTCCCAGAGGCTCCTTACACTACCTTCATATTTTTTTCTTCTTTTTGCTTCCTCATATTTCAAATACTTGATTTGATTCTCAGGATCTTCTATTCTACTCTTAAATCCCTGTATATTATTCTTTATTTCATCAGTGTATGCTTAATTTCTGACTGATCCTTTTCCATTATTTTGGCATTCTCACTAAGATCCTTGAAGGTCTCACTAAGTCCCTTGGAGGCCTCAAGAAGATTCTTGAGTAACCTATAACTGTGGTTTTGAACTCTATATCCAGGAGCTTGCTTTCTTCCATTTCTTTCATTTGTGGAATGTTTCTTTATCTCTGCATTTTGACTACTTCCCTGTGTTTGTTTCTATATATTGGGTAGAGCTTCTATGTATCCTTGAGTTGGTAGAGTGGACTTGTGTAGTAGGTGTCCTATAGGACCCACTGGCTTAGCCTCCCCAGTCACCTGAGCTGGGCACTTTAGGTGCACCCTTTTGTGGGCTGTGTGCACAGTCATGTTGTAGTTCAGACTTGATTGCTGTTGGTATCATTGGGAGGAATTGATCTTCAGTCCAAATTGGCTGTGGGGACCAGCTGCAACTACAGGGGGAGAGCTGCTATGCAAGAGACACCCCTATGGAGCAGGGCTTGCTTTAGTGGGGCTTTGGTGTTCACTGAGTCTGCCCTTTGAATGTGTCACTCATGGATGTGTAGAGTTATAATCTAGTATGATCTGACACTAACCAATGGGTGTACTGGCTCTTGGGTCTCCAGGAAGGTACAAAGTCAGCCACAGCCTGGGGCCACCCAGCAGGAGCTACAGAGGGATCTGCAGATTCCTCCTATTTGTATCAGGTTTAGATGTGTCCAAGCAAGGCTCATCTATGAAGCAAGGCAGGCTGGTGCTAGTGCTGGGTCTTGGGCCTCTTATTGATAGGTTTGGGGCTCCCTGACCCAGCTGTAGCTTGTTTGAGAGATTTTAGCAAAGTCTGAAGTCTGAGCAAGGACAGGCCATTCATAGCAAAAGCCACTGCCCACAGGTTGAGTGAGGCTACAAATTGGATGGAGCAGGGTCTCAGGGAATCACCTGGGCAGAGCAAACAGAAATGGCTGCCAGTCAGCCCTGCCACCAGGGAGGTCCCAGTATAGGAACAGTGACCCTTGCAAGCACCTCCATCTGGGAGAAAGTCACCCTGAGTTCCAGCTCCGATGCCAGACGATCCAGTTTCTTCTTGTAGGAGTCTGTGTCCCCCAGAGCCTCACCCTGGAGCTCAGAGAAAGTGGACTTTCTAAGTTCCTTCATGTGGCCAGCCCTTTAGGAGGAACAGCTGGGTCTCCAGCAGCCTCCATGCCACTGAGCCCCAATCCCCACTGGTTTTTACAGCCCATAATTATGGTGGCTTCATTTCCAAACTCTGTGAGACTGGGCTGGGGGTCCGGTGTGGGGCTGGGACCCCTTACTCCTCACGGGTGGCCTCTGCAGAGACGATCTCCCTCCCAATTAAAAAAACAGCACACATGGGTACTGGTCCAGCCAGTTCTGCGCCTCTGCCCCTCCTGCCAGTCTCAATGTGCTTTCTTCTTTACTTCTCTAGTTGTGGGACTTTCATTCAGCCAGCTTTTAGGTGGTTCTGGGTGATGGTTGTTCCGTATTTTAGTTGTGATTTCGATGTGGTTGTGGGAGGTGGTGAATATAGCACCCTATGCTGCCATCTTGGTTCTCCCTCAAGACAGATTTTAACTCAACCTGAGACAGAAGTACAGCAGGTCCTGGAATAAGGTCATTTTGTTCAATGTCATTTTGTTAAAACATTTATGAGATACCTTAGGAACTTAACTCCCGTTTATGTCAATTAGCCTATGGAAAAGTCAGTTTCATTATTGTCATTCTGCTTAAAGTCACAGAACCTATTGTTAAGTGAGGACCAACTATACCCTCAGTTAACAGGTCCTAAAATGACACTGGTGGCTTGGTGAGCTTTAAGGCTCTTTGTCATTGAAGGTATTCAAGTGGAAGCTACTGATCTGGTCAGAAAAGAGAAAACAGCCTTGTAATGTGAGAAGGCGGACTAAGTTTTCTCCTAGCTCCTTCCAATTCCATGATTCTATAATTTCCTTCTATGGAATTGTTGTATTTTGGCCATACGGAAATAAAAGTACTTAGATACCCCAAGAAAAAGTTTGTTGTTACCTCCAATGTATATTGTTTTATTTAAGTAGAAGCCACAACTAAATTTATGAGCAGAGGAACTTATAAATATAAAAATGAAGTTTCTCTCTTGGTCTTTTGGGCTATTAGAATATGGTATTTGAATATTTCATCTGTGTTTAACTTTGCATCATTTCCTGAGTAAATTTATTATGGTATAATCAACATACCATTGAGGTTTTTAATATTTAGTACCTAATAAGAAATGCATATGAACCTTTTTAAGATTAAAAATATTTAAATTTTTTCTTACAAAATCAATACATTTCTTAATGGAAACTCATAAAGCACAAAACATTTTTAAAAATACTTGTACCTTCTTTTACACAGAGGTCATTTTATGAATGTTTTTCTGTACATATAGGATATACATAAATGTACTGTTTCATATGAAAGCTCATGCTATACATGCTGATTTATAACCTACTCTTTTAATTTGTAATGTAGTCTTTCCATTCAATAGGGACAGAATTTTTAATAATATTTTTACCTTTCATGAATTGCTATATAAAGAAAATTTTCTCAGAAAATTCTAAATTTAGTAATGAAGACAAGACCTTTAAAACATTCATTTTAAAAATCAATAGGAATACAGAATAATATGAAATGCTCTTTCAATGGGGAAATTTTTCATTTTCTATCTTTTTGTTTTGAAATAATTTCAAATTTAGAAAAACTGTAAGAACAGTTAAAAAACCTCTATATACCTTTCATCTGGATTAACCAATTGTTAATATTTTGGAAATTTGCTTAATATCTTTCTGGGGGTGTGTGTGTGAACATAACTTTTTTCTAAATTATTTGGGAGTACATTGCAGAAGTTATGCCACATTGTTATTCCTTTATTATGTTAAGCTATATACCATAAGAACAAAGACATTCTCTTAAATAACTATAGTACAACATAATATTGATGAAATATGTTTTAATATTCAATTTTCAACTTTAACCATTGTTGGCTTTATAGCAAACCTTCCCTGGTCTTGGTTCTAATTCAGAATCACACATCACATTTAGTTACCGTGCTTCTTTATTTACTCTCATTTGATATGGATCAGTTCCTCGGTGATACTGACATTAAAGGGCACAGGCCAATATTTTGTAGAATGTCCCACAGTTTGGGTCTGTTTTCTTCCTCTCAATTATATTCAGGTTGTAGGTTTTGGACAGAAATGTCACAGAAGGGATGTGTCCTTCCCAGGGTACCTTATCAGGGGTACATGATGTTGGTTTCTCCCAGTATCAGTGAAGTTAGCTTTGATCACTTGGTTAAAGTCTAGCTGCCAGATTTCTCCATTGTAATAATTCCTTTCCCCTTGATAATTAAAAAGTAGTCTGTCCTGGCTTGTGTGGCACAGTAGTTGAGTGTCATCCTATGAACCAGGAGGATACGGTTTGATTCCAGTCAGGTCACATGATCTGGTTGCGGGCTCGATCCCTGGTGTGGGGTGTGCAAGAGGCAGCCAATCAGTGATTCTCTCTCATCATTGATGTTTCTATCTCTCCCGCTCTAAAATCAATAAAAATATATTTTTAAAAAGTAATCTGTAGGGAGATACTGTGAAACTATGTAACTATCCTGTTTCCCATCAAAGTTTTACTCCAGTAGTTTTAGCATCTACTGATAATTTTTGCCCAAATCAACTATGACTATACTAGTATGCTGTAGAATTTGATACAGCATTGTTTTTTAATATTAACTCTTGTGAATTTACCTCCTAAAGGGTTTACAGCCATCTATGAAAGCATAGGATCCCTCAGGCAAGTTCTTGAAGCCAAGATGAAACTGGACAAGGACCAGCTACAGAAGCAAATCCAACAGATGCAGAAGCTGGAAGCTCCCATGTGAAGGGAGTTGGGACAAGGACCTCAAAGGTGGTTTTGCCAGTGGGTCTGGGAGCTCAAGACCTCTGTCAGGGTGTGGTGGCATTTGGGATTGTTCTATTTATGGTGTGCATGTGCCAAGAAATGTGTTTTCATGGGTCTAAATGTTTACCTTGAGTCTTGAAAACACTCTATCTTTAAAAACCTATACTAGTAATAGAGGAACATGCAAATTGTCCGGGACTCCATCACAGTAGTGACCGAACAGCAGCAGGGCTAGTGAGGGACGACCAAACGACTGAACAGCAGGCTGCGTGGGGCGACCAGGCTGGCAGGGGGGTTAGTGAGGGACGACCAAACGACTGAAAAGCAGGGTGCATGGGGCGACCAGGCTGGCAGGGAGGGAAGTTAGGGGCGACCAGGCCAGCAGGGGAGGGCAGTTGGGAGCAACCAGGCCAGCAGGGGGGACAGTTAGGGGCAACCAGGCCAGCAGAGGGGGGAAGTTGGGGGGGACTAGGCCAGCAGGGGGGCAGTAAGGGGGACCAGGCTGACAAGGGGGGCAGTAAGGAGTGACCAGGTTGGGGGGCAGTTAGGGGTGACCAGGCCAGCAGAGGGGGCAGTTGGGGGTGACCAGGCCAATGGGGGGGGCAGTAAGGGGAGACCAGGCTGGCAGGAGAGGCAGTTAGGGGCAGTTAGGCTGGCAGGGGGCGACAGTTGGAGGTGACCAGGCTGATGGAGGGGCAGTTAAGGGTGATCAGGCTGGGGGGGGGGCAGTTAGGGGCATCAGGCAGGCAGGCAGGTGAGCAGTTAAGAGCTAGCTGTCCCAGATTTTGAGAGGGATGTCCGACTGCTGTTGGGGATCGGGCCTACACCGGCAGTCGGACATCCCCCGAGGGGTCCCGAATTGGAGAGAGTGCAGGCTGGGCTGAGGGACCCCCCCCCTCCCCCGCTGCACAAATTTCATGCACTACGCCTCTAATATTAAATACAATTTTTACCACTTTATTTCACTTCTTTAAATTCAATGGGATATCCTTCCCTCCCTCCCTGATTTGGAAAGGCTTTATCCCCTTCATTTTATGAGTGAAAAGACTTAATTTTCCTTCAATGCTTGATGCTCTGGCCAAGACCTTGCTATTTTAAAAATGTCATGGTGATTTTTTAAAATTAAAAAATGAATTGTCACAGAAATGTATTGCTCCTCACCCTAAATTAAGAGAATGTCCTGATAGATTAGAATTTAACCTTGGAGTCCATATTTGGATTTTATTATTGTTGTCTATGCATTTCTTTTTAAAAAATTTATCTTTATTGTTGAAAGTATTACAGGTATCCCCTTCCCCATCCCCCATTGTTGATCCCCTCCACCCCACACCCATCCCCCCTCAAGCCTTCACCACACTTCTTGTAAATCTCCTGTCTTTTGTAGGGGGAAGGGACTTAACATTTGGGAAAAAAACACCACTTACATAATGAGAACAGTTTAAAAATTGATAACTGCCATATAGATTGCAAATTAAAATGGAAACTTGAGACAATTATGTAGGTAATGCAAGACACAATATCTACATTGACCACAAGTTATACCAGGTTTTAATATTGAAAAATGTTTTTCAATTATCCACAATCTGTATAGTGATAGCCATATATTTAATAATGAAATGGTGGTTAATAGTCTGTTTCTTGCACAATTAATTGTTCATTAATTATAATAGGATGTGAGCATTTTTCAGGCTTTATGATCTCCTCTCTAAATGTTTCCAAAATTGGCACAAAGTGCTTCTGTTTATAAACACTTACTGTATTCTGTGCCTTGGTTTTATCATGTCAATGCACTGTACCCCACAAAAGTTTTGCAGACAAAGTAGAAGGCATGATAATATATCAGAATTATGTAAAAATGGGATCCTATGTATTTTTTAAATTCTAAAATTTTATCACTGTCATGACATGAACCAATCAATATTATTAATGAAGTAGAAATTCATACTTTTGTATGAACAGAGAATCAAATTGATATTGCATTTATAACACTGTCAGGAAACTTTAAGTTTGAGCAACTTTATAGATGATGGGTATTTCTTTTCAGTTGCCATATTGGCTCAGTTGTTGAATATTGGCTCAGTGCTGTCTGTTCACTTGTGGATGTAAAAATTGGTCATAAGACACACACCGTCCTAAACTGTGAGGGTGCCCAGGAGAAAGGAAACAGGAATACTTTAAAAAAATTTTAAATCTTTTTTTTTTTTTTTTTTTTGCTGAGGACTCAGGAAAATCAAAGTGTTTTCTATTTTTAGGATAAATCATAAATGAAACATCTGTCTATTACTGTTTATTCATATAAAATATGCTGCTAAAGTATATAATATTCTCCCCTCAATGGCTTGACAAAAAACAATTTTTTAATTCGGACCAGAGAAGTCATATAAAAAATATGTCATCCAACACATATTTCCTTATTTTGTCACGAATTTCTGCCTTGGTATAGACAGACCATTTCCATGTAGCAATGAAAATGTTTAATGCTCTTTTGCAATCAGAAAGTGAGTTCTTTCTGTGGCAGAGTAACCCTGTTTAGTTCAGTTCTCCGAGTTTTAAGCACAAGCCTCAGCACAGAGAGTCATGGCCCCTCCTCATCTGTCTCCTCTGGGGTCTCTGAAAAGGAAGATCAGCCCAGTGACCCTGGGGAGAGGGGCACGGGATTCCAGCTGGAGGCAGGGAGAAGGGTGCGGTGAGCGGGTGATGCTTGGCTGTCCGCTGAGTTGCTCAGGTGCTTCTGATGCTGCATTAAGTGTCCTGAGCTTGGGCAGTGGTTCTTGTCGGTGGCTGTATGTTGTGATCACCTGGGGAGTCCGCAAAGCTACTGGTGCCTGGGCTGCCCCGACCCATGACGTCAGAGCCTCTGGGAGGTGGGCGCGGGCATCAGTCTGTATCAAAGGCCCCCAGTGACTCATGCGCTGGGGAGGTTGTGAGCCTACTCTTATCACCAAAGTTTAAAAGAGAATCAGCTTCTGTGTTCTTTCCTTTACCAGAAATTTGCAATAAAAAAAAATCCAAATAAATGTGGTGTATGATTTTTAAAAGTCTTTCAGTGGGAGGTAAACATTTAATACAGTCAAAATGCCATAGAAGTGCTCCTTCTAGCCCGGCTGGTGTGGCTCAGTGATTGAGCACTGACCCAGAAACCAAGAGGTCGCAGGTTCTATTGCTGGTCAGGGCACATTCCCGGGTTGTGGGCTTGATCCCCAGTAAGGGGCGTGCAGGAGGCAGCCGATCTATGATGTTCCTCTCTCATCGATGTTTCTATCTCTCTCTCTCTCTCCTGTCCTCTCTCTCTAAAAATCAATAAAAACATTTTTTTCTTTTTAAAAAAGGAAGTGCTCCTCCTACCTTCCTGTGAAAACCGTGTGGTGGTGGACATAAAGCGCTGTGAGTCCTGGCAGACCTGTTGGGAGCTGAAAGTCACAGGAGCTGCTCTACCTGTGGGTCTTGCAGGCGCCGCGCCTCTGGAATGATGGCAGCCGGCGGGTCCCTGTGTGAGCTGTGTGCTCACGCTGCACCTTGGTGTGCGTTAACTCACTTTTGTAATAACAGTGAGTTGGGTACTATTCATTCCCCATTTTGCAGATGAGAAAACTGGGTCACCTAAAGGTTAAGCAACTTGCCCTGAATCGTCTAGCTAGTAAGTGGGAGCCAGGATTCAACCAGGCAGCCTGCTTCCTGAGCCTGAGCTCTTAACCAGGGCATACTCTACCTCTAAGATGCATCCTTGCTTACCACATAACTGACTGCTGGGCCACTGAGCCCCTCTCTGTATGACCTTACCGTTCCAACATCTGAGTCCCTTTGCTTTTTTTTTTTTTCTTTAAACCTGTATTGTTGAGAGTATTACAGATGCCCCCTTTCCTCCCCCCATTGTCCTCCTCTACCCAGTTCCTGCCCTGCCCCAGGCCTTCACCACCCTATTGTCTGTGTCCATAGGTAATACATATCTCTCTATATAAAAGCCTAGCAACCAGAATGGTGGAACGGCCAGAACGACCGGTGGCTATGATGAGCTCTGCAGCAGCCAACCAGCCTGATCTGGCCCTGATCAGGTCCCCTCCTTCCCCCACTCCCGCTGGTCCGGCCCCCATCAGGGCAGGCTGGCTGGACCACACCCATACACAAATTTGTGCACTGGGCCTCTAGTATGCATATAAGTTCTTTGGTTAATCTCTTCCCACTCACCTCCCATCCCCACCCCATTCCCTCTGAGATTCATTAGTCTGTTCCATGTGTCTATGCCTCTGGTTCTATTTTATTCATCAGTGTAATTTGATCATTAGACTCCTTGTTCATTTATTTTGATTTTTAGATTCAGTTGATAGATATGCACTTATCTGGTTATGATAGGCAGTCTTAATAGTGTTTCCCAACCCTTCCCATCTCCTGGTATTCACTTCACTGTGCACTCCCCTCCCTGGAGTGTGGGCCGGGTTTAATAATGGGCTTCTTATTAACAGAATGACAGGAGTAATGGCTTGTTACTTCTGAGATTATGTATAAAAGGACTGGCTTCCTTTTAGGTCTTGATTCTCTCTCTCTCTCTCTCTCTCTCTCTCTCTCTCTCTCTCGCTGGGGAGGCAAGCTGTCATGGAAGCAGTGTTATGGAGGGACCATGTGGTGTGGCAAGGAATTGAGACCCTCAGTCCAGTAGCCTGAAACGAACTGACACACACAGTCATATACCCATGTTCATTACAACAGCCAAAGGTGGAAGCCTCTCAGTGTCCATTGACGGAAGCACGGATAAGAAGTGTGGCATATGACTATAGTGGAATACTCTTCAGCCATAAAAACGAAGGAAGCTCTGACACATGCTATAGCATGAACATTATGCTAAGTGAAATAAGCCGATCACCAAAGGACAAATACTGTATAATTCCACTTGCATGAGGTAATGAGAATAATCAAATCCACAGAGAGAAAGAGGAGCGTGGTGGCTGCCTGGGGCTGGGGGGAGGGGGGACGGGGTAAGGGGAGGACAGGGGTTAGGGGGAGGACAGGAGTTAGTGTTTAATGGGTATGGTTGCAGCTGGGAAGATGAAAGCTTTCTGGTGATGGTTGCACAACAAGGGGGATGCATATAATGCCACTGAAGTGTACACTTAGAAATAGTTACGATGGTAAATTTTATGTATATCTTACCACACACACACGAAAAAGGAGCAAAAAAAGTGGATTCCCTGACTGCAAAGTCAAGTTTTTGTAGGAGACTGCAGTCTGGTGCTTCACTGTAACCTCAGGAGAGAGTCAGAGACACCAGCTCAGCCATGCCCACACCTGATCCACAGAAACGGAGATCATGGATATGTGTGGTTTCAAATCACTGCATTTTGCGTTGGTTTGTTATGTGCAGC